TAAACAAAGAATAAACTAAGATTAAACCAGGACTACATCAGGTCTAAATCAGGATTAAAATTGGACTATCACAGTTTTTGACTAATCTGATCCCTGTCAACAGTAAAGAGGAGCATACATTTTCATTTGTTTCACCAAAATACAGAAAACCATGTTTGTGAATGACCATAAAGCAAAAAATGCAGCGACAGAAGTTCCTCAAATAATAACTGACACAAGAACGCACAAAGTGTTGAAAATCTGGTCACACTACTCTTGGCTGCAACTCGGCACCCACACGTTCCTTTCTACGGACGTTGCTGCTACTGCCTCACAAAACGCAATAGCCAAAAACCTTCGTCCTTCTCCTTCGCAATTTCCTCCTTAAAACAAATAAGCTGTTCTGGCTCTAGTACGACAGCAACTTTAAAACCTCCAGGTGCCCACTGCTCGCGTCCATGTTTAGACGACTTCATTAAACTGCGTGTGACATTGTCGTGTCCTTCAATGCACATCCGGGACATTTTGGGGTGTTTTGGGGTGTGTAGGCTCTACTCATGCTTACGTCACAAACCACAAAGACATTGGGAAAGATGTGGTTATGACTTCTGCTGGGTTCTATTTGTGGTAGTAAGTCTGACAAAAGCTAGGAAAATGAGAAAATGTTTTCTTCATCTCCATGTCTTTGTAGCGTTCCATTCTTTGCAGCTCTCCGCTGTTTACCCGACTGTCACCCTTACACAGTAATAATCAAACACATGATATCCAACAGCCTCGTTCCTGTGTTTAAATGTCTGGATTAGAAACTTTGAAAGGGTCTGTGCTTTTGTCTTGTGTCGACAGAGTGCTGGACTCAGTGGTTTGACAGGGACAACCCCTCTGGCAGCGGAGACTGGGAGACTCTTTTAAGTCTACACCTCCAAAACCCTGGAAAGATCTGCAGCACACCTCTGGAGATTCAAGCCCTGACCACCTCGGGCCAGTCAGTGTCCTCCACCGGGGACGTCATCAGCAAGTGAGTGTCTGTGCAGCTACAACAGTTATGTTTGAAAGTGCACGACAATATAAAGTTACTCAAATATACATGAAGCGATCGATAATTCAGCTCTTGAGTAAATTCAAGTTACACAAAATTGACTCTTGTGAGTTTGAGCAGGGCTGTAGTGGGTGTGACGTGAAGTATAAAAAATTAAAAGTATAAAATAGTTACAACTTAAATGTCAAACTGGAGCTACTGGCAATGATGAAAACAACCTGCACAGGCTTGGACCCAGAAGTGACATCATTGCTCTATGGGAACTTTGGTATGTGAAGGCCCAGCTCCAGGCCAAATAAGAGTCAGGTTTGTGGAGATGCAAGCCTGAAGTATGAAGTCATATTTTTCAGTGCAATAAAAACGTAACAAATTCATTTTATTTTAGTGGTTTTTGGGAGTAAGGTCACACAGTGGGCCTAAAAAAAACTCATAAACATTAATTTTACATAACACTTACACTTTCTTAATTACTATGGCATAAAAACATGCACATACATTATATCCATCCATTTTCTTCCACTTTATCCGGAGCTGGGTCACGAGGGCAGCAGGCTAAGCAGGGACTCCCAGACTTCCCTCTCCACACACACTTCCTCCAACTCTTCTGGGTGGATCCTGAGGTGTTCCCAGGCCAGCCCAGAGACATAGTCCCTCCAGCGTGTCCTGGGTCTTCCCCGGGGCCTCCTCCTGATGGGACATGCCCGGAACACCTCCCGAGGGAGGAGTCCAGGAGGCATCAGAACAGATGCCCGAGCCACCTCAACTGCTCCTCTCGACGTGGAGGAGCAGCGGCTCTACTCCGAGCTCCTCGAGTGTGACTGAGCTCCTCACTCTATCTCTAAGGGAGCGCCCAGCCACCCTGCAGAGGAAACTCATTTCGACCACTTGTATCCACGATCTCGTTCTTTCGGTCATTACCCAGAGCTCATGAGTATAGGTGAGGGGAGGAACGTAGATTGATGGTAAATCGACCTCTTCTCCACAACGGTCCGATACAGCGACCGCATCACTGCAGACGCTGCACCGATCCACCTGTCAATCTCACGCTCATTATACATTATACACAGTGTTGGGGAGTAACAGATTACATGTACCAGAGTTATGTAATCAGAGTACAAATTATGAGTAACTGTATTCAGTTACGATTACTGTTTCAATGAGTGGTAATTGGATTACAGTTACTTTGTTAAAATAAATGGATTACAGGGCGGTATTTTCCTGTTTTACATTTTGGGCTAAACTAGAACTAAAACCAGGACTAAACCAGACTAAAACCAGAACTAAAACCAGAACTAAAACCAGGACTAAACCAGAACTAAAACCAGGACTAAACTAATACAATCTGACATGGACATAATTTAAAGCAGCAGTGACCTCATATAAAAATCATTTCTCTATCAATAATATTTTTAATCTGGTCAAGTAAAGAATTTTCAGGATGTGGTCGCTTCATTCATGAAGTTTTAAAAAGCATGACAATATCAAGTAATCCAAAGTATTCAGATTACGTTACTCACTTTAAGTAATTTAATGGTTACAAACTACATTTTGGAGTATGTAATCTGTAATCTGTAGGGGAATACATTTTAAAAGTCACCTTCCCAACACTGATTATACGCTACATTATATAGAACATCATAGTGGACAGTAAAGTGAAAGTAAACCCATCACAATACTTCCTCATGTATTTGCAGGTACGACACACAGACGGGATTCATCTGTAAAAACTCAGATCAGACAAAAGGGGGCCTGTGTTCAAACTATAAGGTTCGCTTCAGATGCCCCCTCGAGTTCTGTGCTCCTCCTCCACGTAAGTACCACAATCAGAGCTGGGAACAATCCTCTGAATATGTAATACTGAATACCTCCAATCAAATATATTTAGTAAGATACTGCATTACGTGGTCCAATCAGAGTACTGCACTGTGAATACTTTCATGCTGACGTACATTATATATAACAGTGTACTTTTGTGAAGCTTCATTTCCAATTTAATAATGTACTTTTACTAGACTTGATGGAGAGAATGAAGTAAACATGTTTGATCTGGTGGTGCCATCTGCTTTCTGCATATATTTGTTTAATGCCATACTGTGGAACATTCCATATCACGTACTATTATTTGTTCATTACAATGCCATACAGTAAACACTAAAAAAGGAAAAGAAAAGAAAAGAAAAAAAATGCTGTAAATTAGTCCTTTTGAATTAAAACATTGAATTGAAAATGTCTCCTGTGTTGATCTGGTGGGTTTATGTCATCAGTAAAAAATATTCATAATAAAACAATATATATTTTGTACTTTAGATTTTTTCTTTTGAATCTCTTCCTTTACATGATAAACAAAAGTCTTCCCTTGGTCCCTGTGTGTCTGTAGCCTGTTGGACAGAGTGGTTTGACCGGGACGACCCGAGTGGCGGTGGAGACTGGGAGACTCTTGCCGAGCTCAGAACTCAGTATCCAGGTCGGATCTGCAGCAGACCTCTGCAGATCGAGGTCCAGACCACGGCCGGAGTACCACTCAACGCCACCGGGGACGCCGTCTACACGTCAGTACTGGGGCATATTGATAGTTTGCAGTGACATCTTACTGGGGGTGTTCTACATCTGTCTCTACGGTGGAATGTTCAGTAATTGTACACATAAGTTTGACATAAATAACACAGAACATGAGCCTCTGATGGAGACAAACATTCAAACAAACATCTGTTTAGGAGTTGGATTTTCAACACAATGAGAGTATCGAACTGAAAAGACCTCAGGATAATGATGGCGAGCTTGTGACTGTCATGTTATGTGCACAAATCCCCTTTTGTAGTTACTACTACAACTAAATCACTTGAGTAACAAAGCCTCAGACAGAGTTTATTTCTTTATTTTTTTTAACTTATGTTTATTAAGGACATCACAGTCGCATTAGACGAGCCAGTCGCATTGCTTTGAGTGTTTTAGCACAAGTTTTCGACACCTGTCCATATAAAAAAATGTAAAATACATACAAACAGACAAGACACAGAAGTTACATACAGAAAAAATATATACAGCATATTTTCAGTGAGTGAATTTTTGATTGGAAACATAACAATAATTTTAATTTTCATTGAAATTTGTTGTTACTGGTTTCCAGTTTTAAATCATCTGGTTGCAGTTCCACAGTTTGGTCCCTTTGGCAGAGAAAGAGACTGACCAAGAGTCCTGTGCATAAGGACAACGCAGTTACCACTAGAAGCTCCTCTTGTAGTAGCTCCGTGTGTAACAGTTTATGGTGGTGACAAATTCAGAATTCACTGGCACAACAGAGTTGAGACACTTAAAAATAATTTAAGATTATTAAAACTGGTAACATTTTCAAATGGTAAATAGGTTATGTTTCTTTCAAATTTGGCACTGGTGCCAGTTTTTGTGCTTTTTGTCAAGGAGCTCAAGGGTCAGTTTGTAAAATGAACAGAGGTGTCGGTCTGGTTGAGGAGGCCTGGGACTGTCAGGTGATATAATAAGATCAATGCAACAAAATCATTGCACTCATGAATAGTTTAGAAGTGTGGAGTGTAATATCTTTAAGTATAAAATGAAAGAAATTGAGACTATTTTTAATCTTCTTCGCATGTATTGTGTGACTTTTTTTGTGTGAAAGTTTGACATTTTCATCCAGAATGAGGTCAGAGTATTTAACTTCACTGACTGTCACCTCCCAGTTTTTTGTTTGTGTATGCACCGAAATACAAAGAGAAACTGTTATTTTAAAATTCAAAGTCATGTGTGACACTCAGACACCATTCTGAGACCTTCTGTAAGACCTGTTCACGAGTCTGAGCAGCTGTTTTTGCAGATCCATACAACACAGTGTCATCAGCATTCACTTGAACATTAACAGTGGGACAGTATTGAGGAGGGTCATTCAGTGCAAAGACACATTTTGAAGAGAGCTGTAAGAAGCATTGAAATGTCCTAAACATGTTTTTTTTTTTTTTTCCTTTTCTGTGACATGTTCAGCATCGACACTGTGACCGGCTTCATCTGTAGAAACTGCGATCAGAAGGACGGACGCTGTTACGATTATCAAGTCCGCTTCTTGTGTCCACGCAGGTTCTGTGTCCAGGCCAGTGAGTCCAGCTCTTTATCTAAATCTGACTTCCTCAAACGTGTCCATCTCATATTGTATTTACTTCACCAATGTTACGTTTATTAGAATCTATGTGTAGTCTGAATTAGATGATGAGACAGTGAGGGGGAAGGGTTTTCAACAGAAATGTGGGATTAAGATTCATATTTAGGGCAGAACAGTTCATAATAAGGCCATATAGTAAATAAAGGAAGACAGTTTCACAATAAAACTCCTCAATTTTGCGGTAGGACATATTTAACTGAATGTAGTGTGTATATTTAGTGTGGACCTCTGACCCTATAGTGTGTGTGTGTTTGTGTGTGTGTGTGTGTGTGTGTGTGCAGAGTGCTGGACACAGTGGTTTGACAGAGATAACCCCTCTGGCACCGGAGATTGGGAGACTTTAGCCTCTCTTCAGTTCTCTTACCCGGAGCAGATCTGTGCTGCTCCTCTACAGATCCAGGGTCAGACCACCACAGGCCTTCCCGCCTCCGCCTCCGGAAACGTTCTCTCTGCGTAAGTCACACATGAACACGTAACATCCTCACCGTCACTGGGACTGTGCTTTATCTACTGCTGCCTGTAGTGGACCATCTCTATCAATGATTATTTGTACAGTGGTCACTCGTTATCGCGGCTGTTACGTTCTTGTAGTAGTCATCTTTATTTTTACAATTATTATATCTGTTTTAACACCACACACTTTATACACTTTTCTCAGACAGGACACTCACTCTTTTTCCTCATCCTTCTTAAAACTTATTGCTGCTGTCGTCCTTATGTTATTTTCCTCCAACTTTATGGAATAAATTAATCTTTGTTTCGTTACAAAATGAAGCAGAGTCCTGCACTGGTCCATTTTCAGAAACCCGGGGGTGTGACCACAGGAGACTTTGTTGGTGTAGAATGTTTCGTCGACACTGTGGGTTTTGTCGGGGAGAAAACTTCTTCAGAATCTCACTGCTAGCGATCGAACATTTATATAAATTTGGCAGCTGAATACATTCTGTACTGTACAGGAGACACGACACGGCCGAGATTGATTGACAATGGTGTAAAGTCCCTTAGCCAATCAGGACGGAGGGGGAGGAACACAATGCATGTTCATACACTGTAAAAAAAAAAATTGCATTAAAAAAATCCGCGAAACAGCAAGACAGCAAAAGGTGAACTGCGATGTAGCGAGGAACAACTGTATTGCCTCATGTAAATGGACAAAGGTTTTTAAGAGAGAATAGTAGTATGTTTCGCTCTCATCCACTGAAGCACCCAAGATGTGAACATTCACACCATAAGTCTGGACTTACTTAACTAACAACACACTGGAAAAAAAACAAAAACAAAAAAAAACACAAATCTAGGTAACTTAAAATGACTTAACTTAAGAACAAATTATTTTATCTGAGTTGATTCAATTTGACAAATCAAATTATCTACCAAAGGAATAAGTGTGCAACATTTTGTTTCTTATTTTAAGTGTAAAAAGTTTTATTTATTTTTTTTTTTACTTTAAGTGTAGCAAGATGTATTTTCATATTTTTAGTACAAAATTGTCTTATTCCACTGGCAGATCACTTCAACTGTCAAGCGATATTTACCCAAATCAGGATAAAACTTTCTTAATTCAATCATCATCTTAACTCGACTAGATTTAGTTTTTTGCAGAGCAGATATTTATTCTAAACTCCAAGTGTGTGTTAGTGTCAGTGTAGTATAGCGCCCCCTCCACACAGACACAAGATCCTGTCAGTTCAGCATTCAGACATTTTCTTTTGGAACCTGCCTGGACGACTGAGGAGTTACACACACTTCTGCCTATTGTCATTGTATAACAATAACAATATCAACACACTAAATATGTCCTTTTATTGGTTTAATTCATTCTAGAACCATCACTAACGTGTTTCATCTTTTCCAAACAGATATGACACGACTGTGGGCCTCATCTGTAAAAACTCTGAGCAGCAGAGGGGCCTCAAATGTCATGACTTCCAGGTTCGCTTCCTGTGTCCCCCTGACTTCTGCAGACCCAAAGGTGAAGGAGCATTACCTGGAAACATTTGTGTAAAATATGTTCTTATGACTGCCCATAAAGAACACACACAAAAAAGATATACACAAAAAAAAAAAAAAAAAGACAATGAAATAAGAAAGTTGTTGTGAAGTGCCCCTTTGAGCTGTGACAGATCTAGCCCTGCTCAGTGGCTGAGCACTCACATTTCACAACAACAAGGTTCTGGGTTCAGTCCCTGGATCGGTCGAGCCTTTCTGTGTGGATTTTACATGTTCTCTATGTATCTAGATATGATTCCGTAGCCAGGCTGGTGCCACCTGGTGTCTACGCTCAATTTCATTTCTCTCCAGCGACTAGGTCAGGAATCGGAATACAGTAGATGGTTCACAAAAACCCTGGAAGTTAAATTAAAAAAAGTACTCACCTACCGTCAAGCGAAATAATTCTAATGCTGCAAGGTCAGACAGTTTCTACAAAGTGAAACCAGCTGATTAATCAGGCTAATGTTTCCTCTAGTTTGCCCAAAACATTCAGAACCAGTCAAATCCTCCAGCAAAAGTCCTGACCAAGACTAGCTCAAGATCCAGCGGCACTGAAGAATGGGTCAAATACAGAAGACAAAGTTCCATATGAGGACAATAAAGTGTAGCTAAACCTTAACCTAACTGAGCCTCCCCTCTGTGTCCTTGTGACCCACAGACTGCTACACAGACTGGTTTGACCGGGACGACCCCTCCGCCACTGGGGACTGGGAGACTCTATTTGCCCTCCGAGCAGAGTATCCAGGACTCATCTGCCCCAACCCTCTGCAGATCCAGGTGCAGACTATAAACGGGTACAGCGTGGCCGCCACCGGGAACATCATCACCACGTAAGTGTTTTTAAACTGGAATTAAACACTTAATCCACCTTTTTTGCCATGAAACTGTGTGTTTTAATAACTTTGTCTGCTGTTCCTAGTCATTTTTGGGTCATTTTAGTGCAAACCATGTCAAATTTCTGGTTGAAAACATCTTAATCTAAGTTTGTGCTACCTCCAGTGACCTCTGTAATTTCAGTTTTGCAGCTCTATTTGAAATGTGGTTGTAGGCAGAGTTTACGTGTTTAGGTGTTCAGTTATAATATCACTCAATCTCAAACTCAAACTGCTTTTGTGTTTTCAGGGCGGACGTGGTGAATGGTTTCATCTGTCAGAACTCGGCTCAGCCCTCAGGCCTGTGTCACGATTACAAAGTGCGCTTCGTGTGTCCGATGGATTTCTGTCAACACAAAGGTGAGTGCAGTAACAGGGATGGCCTCTAGGGGGAACATAACAGAGAGGGACACACTTGGGTATTTTAAGGGTGCGCTATGTAACTTTTCTGATAAAAGCGTCCATGGAGATATGCACGAAAGAGGGGTCACAACAAACACAAACGCTGCAACAAATACAAATGCGACAACACAACAAAAAGCCACAACAAACCAAAAAAGCCACAACAAATGCACAACAAACAACAAAAACACAAACAAAAAGCCACAACAAACCAAAAAAGCCACAACGGAAATGACTGCGTGACTCTATTTTAATGCAAATGCTGCAACAAATACAAACGCCACAACACAAACGCAAATGCCGCAACACAGTAAAAAGCCACAACACATTAAAAAGCCACAACGGAAGTGACCGCGGGACTCTATTTTCCAATGGACCGATCAAGCGGCAAGTGAAGAAGAAGAACTACAATGTGAAACGAATAACGATAAAACAATAAATTACTTTTACTTACGTTTCCAACTTCTCCGTTCCTTTACTTTTCACGTTGTTGTAGTTCTTCTTCTTCACTTGCCGCTTGATCAGTCCATGAGAAAATAGAGTCCCGTGGTTACTTCTGTTGTGAATTTTGATGTGTTGTGATTTTTTTAATGTGTTGCGGCATTTGTGTTTGTGTTGAGGCGTTTGTATTTGTTGCAGCGTTTGCATTAAAATAGAGTCCCAAGGTCATTTGTTTCATTTGTTATGACCCCTCTCGGCTTCCGTAGCTATGCTAGGGAAATTGTTTTACTTGGAATATACAACCATATGGCATGAAATTTGCTTATTACTTAATTATTTATGTATATACAGATTACTCAAACATGTGAGAATGAAACAAAACACAACTCCAGGTACCATATTTTCCGAACTATAAGTCGCTCCGGAGTATAAATCGCACCAGCCAAAAAATGTGTAATGAAGAAGAAAAAAACATATACATGGTACACAGGACTATAAGTCACACTTTTTGGGGGAAATTTATTTTATAAAATCAGACACCAGGAATCGACATTTCATCTTAAAAGTCTAGTTCTAGTAATAACAATAGAACAGAGAACAACAAACTGTTAATGTCACATATGAACAGTTCTTCAGATAAACTATAACATAAACAACAGAACAGAACAAGTTTACCAAACTCTCCATCTCACTCCAAATCACTAAATCCATTCAATTCCTTCATCCTCGGTGTCATTTCTGAGCAACTCGGCCTCGACCTCCGGAGGTAAATAGAGCATCGCTTCCTCTTCTGTGTCGCTGTCGTCAGACTCAGCATCAGTTCCAGTTAGAATTATTCGGGTCTTTCTGAATCCCGGCTTTGTCCATCCATCCAGTGACTTCAGAAAAGTTTCATGATGCATCCTCCCGGTGTCACAAGTTTCTCTCTCACTCCAAACTTTCTTTCTGCTGCTCGATTTCCGTTTTCAGCTGCAGATTTCACTACTTGCAGTTTGTAATCTGCAGAATATGATTTTGTTTTTGGGGGCATTTGTGTTCAATCTTCTCAGTCGTCTTTATAAGTTTGCTCAATTTTCAGTGGTGCAGAAGTAATGGTGCGACTGACTGACATGATACAGACAGGACAGAGGCTCTTTCTGCAGGAGACATGTGCAGTAGAGTGTGGATTGACAGTGGTACAGACACACACAAGACTAGAGCCTCTTGTGGCTTCAGTGTGAACATTTTAATATATAAGTCACACTGGAGTAAAAGTCACAGGAAACACCCAAACCATGAAAAAAAGTCTGACTCAGTCTGAAAAATATGCTAGTTTTTTGTAGAGGTAATAGAATATTTACAATATGGCTAAAAGAGTTATTTTTTTTCTTAATATTATAGGACTTTCAACCACAGTTAGATTTCTTGGCTTGTAAGACTTCTACCAGTCAAATTCAAATATTCATTATGACGCTTTGCCTTTTTTTTCTAGAGCTTTCAGTGAGAGCCATTTCAGACTGATATATATGTGCAGTACTGATCTGAGTCATATTGTGAATCCTAAATCTCGTCTCTCCCCTCAGTTTGCTGGACGGCCTGGTATGACAGAGATAACCCTAGTGGCACAGGAGACTGGGAGCTTCTGTCTGATCTGAAGAAACTTCATCCAAACGAGATCTGTGAGACTCCTCTGCACATCGACGTGAGGACTGTGGGCAGCAACCTGCCCCTCACAGTCACTGGACAGGTCCTGCACATGTAAGAAACACTCAAACATCTATACACCGCCTACATCCTGGAAACAAATGTAGATAAACCAAAACTTTGTCACTTCTCCAAACTCAGCTTTCCCAGTTTCCACTCACATGTTACGTTCTGCACTGTTTTGTCTTTCCATTGTTCATATCATTGTACTTAAAGCCACACAAGGTCACTTTTCAGCCCTTTTCAATTTGCTTGTGTTTATTGCACTGAAAAAAGTATTAAAAAAACATACATCTTTACTCTGAGTGGGCTTGCATCGCCACAAACCTGACTCTGTCCATGGTAATATTGTTCCATTGGCTATAATATTCCACAGTATGGCATTAAACATCTCTGTCTCCATGGAGAATGTTCCAAAGTGTGGTTTTAGCTTTCTGTTTCCATTGAATCATGCAGACAACGTGGCACATCCAGAAAGTGACATACCGTATTTTTTGGACTATAAGGCACACTTAAAATCCCAAATCGACAGTGCGTCTTATAATCTGGCGCACCTTATGTATTAATTCTGGTTGTGCTTACTGACCTCGAACTGACTTTATGTGGTACACAGCACTCAAAAATCTGTTAATATTTTAGTGCGACTTTGGTAAACTACAAAGCCGCATCGCTTGATGGATTGTCGGAGCATTACGGCTGCTGTAGTCAGGAGCCTCGTGAAGTAACACCATCAGCAGCACATCCTCTGTGACAGAAAGAACACTCATATTCCACTGAGACGTGGCTTTTAGTGCAACAAAAGCTGAACCGCACCAGGACACAAAGAGCGAGCTGTTTTTTTCAGCACTTATAGTTTATGCAAATTAGTCATGTGGTTTTAAGTTTCATTTCTGTAAAACATAAACAAATGTGCTCAAAGCTGCATTAAACACATTATTACTAATGTATATTTGAGTTCTCCTCAGAAAAACAAAACAAAACTTAAATGATCCACCCACATTCACATTCATAATCCACATTCACCAAGACACTGAGGCAACGCCGGGTGAATCACACCATGATCTGCCAATGAATCATGGGTCTTGGATAAGGGATCAGTCTCAAGTGTCGTCCATTTGTTTTGCTTAATGCGTCTTATAATCCGGTGCACCTTATGTATGAAAATAGACAAGAGAATTCAACATTATTGATCCTGCACCTTATAGTCCCAAAAACACGGTACTGTGTCTTTAATGTTGCATAGTTTGAAATGTCTGTAAACCCAGATGTAGACACCAAAGCCACAGCTCAGACTCTAACACCATTTAAAGTGGCAGGTTTTGGAGACAAGTAGGTAGCAAACCCTTCCACCAGAAAAGTTGCGCAGTGCACCTTTAACTGTATTTTAGAATAGTGAGTAATGAAATAATGAAAGGTGCATTGTGTAAAATTTCTGGTGGAGAGTCTGTCAAAAGCTTTTTCTCCATGGAGATGTTATTGCTTTGTCTGGAATGTTTCACAGTATGGCATTAAACCTTTCTATCTTCATGGAGACCAAACCAGACCAAGTTACAGGTCAGATCTGTGGAGAGGCGACCCTGCTCACAGTCAGAATGTCTGTTTTTATGGCTGTTTTTGAAGTATTAAACCAGCTGTAATTGAATAAATATAAAGTAGAGCTGTTTAATGTCATACTGTGGAACATTCCAGGCAGAGCAATGACATCTCCATAGAAACAAGCAGGTGACGGACCCTCCACCAAAACGTTTAAACTGATCTTTTGTGTTTCTCTGTTGCAGCTACAGTCCCACTGAAGGATTCGCGTGTCGTAACGAGGACCAGACGGGCCGTGGGTGCAGAGACTACAAAGTTCGCTTCGGATGTCCCTGTAAATACATTGTGGACACAGACTAGGTCCACACGTCAATCATAACACGTTTAAAGCCATAGTATGGAACTTTTTAGCCAAAAAAACAGACAAAAGTAAAAGCCTTTTTATTCCAAAACCTGCTTGTTTCCATGGAAATGTTATTCCTTTGCCTATAATCTTCGGTAGTAAAGCATAAAATGTAATATCTCCATGGAGAATGTTCCACAGTATGGTTTTAACTGACGTGTCACCACCAGAAATGTTTGTAAATCACATACTATTTGATTCAAGTGAAACTGTTGTACATAAAGTTGTAATTTCCTTTGGTTTGGGACAAATCACCCAAATCAAATGTTTTACTAAAATTATTTAATCAAATTTTTTTAAATAAAATATTGTGTTTATAAACTGTGTGCTTGCTTACGGATTATTCTATGATGTTTTATACTATTGTATTAGCAGTAGAATGCATCATAAGAAATCTACTTTAGTCCATGTGTAGTGTATATGATGTGAGTACACTACAGAACACAATATATGTATAGACTAGTACAGGGGTGTCCAAACTTTTTTCATCAAGGGCCACATATCTAAACACAGACGAAGCAGAGACTGTAGACTGGTGCTCAGTACAGTGAATAATTGAAATATGTGCATGTTTAACACGTTAGAATGAACCATCAGTCTTTATTCACGTTAAGATCCTTAAAACCAAACACTAAATATTAACATATCGGCTTTATCCAGGTAGATTTTCAAAAAACTTGCAATAAAAAGGTAATATGCAAGATAATTTGGGCCAATTCTCTAGCAAGCCTGAGGGCCAAGAAAAATTTGTCTGAGGGCCGCATTTGACCCACGGGCCATAGTTTGGACATGCCTGGACTAGTATCAAAAGACCTAATAGTTCAGCTCAGGGAGGAAAGTGAAAGAGTTTAAAAGACAAAACCACGAGACTGTCACATGGTGCAGGACGTGAAGTGTACTGAGGGACAGGGAATATTTACAGTATACACAATATCTACAATATGTACAGAACAAAACCAAGAGTTAAACCATCGGCTTTGAGATATTTCAATCTTCAGTTCAGCTGTTGTAGTTGTTGTAGTTGTTGTAGTTGTTGTAGTGGGAGAGTTGATACACTGAGTCATTTTGCTCTAGTCTTTGTATGTAGCAGAGTGTTGGGTGTTGTGTGAGGAGAAGGCCACTGCTCCTCCTGCACTGTAGAAGGAGGCTGGTTATTGCTCCTTAGGCTCGGGCCTTGGGCAGCTCACCATTGGGTTCAGTGGACCATGGAATGGACAGAGCGAATGTCTGGGTGATGGGTTGACAGATGATAGATGAATGTACTGAATCCAACAAAGGATGGACAGAACCTGACCTGTACAGAACATGAGCAATAATCTGTGGCAAAGTCAATCATATCATCACCATCAATATAGAAATCATTTCAATTCAAGGCAGTACATTTAGTTCAAGTCAATACATGAACATGTTCAATAGGTAACACTTTATAATAACTACACCTTATTTAGTATTAATAAAGCATGAACAAAGACTTAATTAATAATGATTCACGCTTAGTATCTACTTAATTACTACCTTAATTAGCACTTGCACTTAATTTGCCTGTGCTGTAAATAGTTACTCATAATTATTTCATACTTAATTACTCATGAACTAACCATTTGAGCATTTATTAATCATTAGTAAACTATGACAGAATGATTTACTAATAATGTAATGCAATGATCATTCAGGCAGCTGTTGTCTGTTAGTTAAGTCTTTTTGAGAGCTTTTCTAAAGTGAAGACTAATTATGCTTTATTAAGCATTTACTTAAGCATGAATCATTATATAATTAAATCTTTGTTCATTATTATTTAAGTCTTTGTTCATGCTTTATTAAGGCTAAGTAAGGTGTAGTTATTATAAAGTGTTACCGTTCAATATAATCCATATTAAATCTATGATGTTAGTGCTCCTGATCGTAGAGCTTTTCCTCCAGCTCTCTGGTACACTTCTCCTGGGCAGAAGTCATCTGCTGAACAGTCTGCACCTCCTCTTTCAGATCCTCTACATCGTTGAGGACGTGCTCCATATTTGCATTGATGTCACGAATTGACTTGTCATTTCTGTCAATTCTTGAGAAAAGGGCATCAGTGCTTTCTCTGATTCAAAATGTTGGCTTGGATATCCTCCAGAGTGAGTTCAGTTTGACCTTTTTTAGGTTGTGGGGTGGAAGTTGCTGATGCAGAAGAGGTTCATGAGAATTCAACACTTGTGGCTCTGTGTACCAATGGAATTCCATCAAGACATTGTTCATATTACTGTCCACTGTGTCATTTAATTTGTCATTTAAGATTCAGGAACATTCCTGCATCCCATCGTTTTCACTCGTCTGTGTTTCTCTGCTATTCTTCTCTTCAGATCAGCGTGTGGTGAGCCACAGTTTATAAAATTCAAAAGTAACAGTCTGAGAATCCAAGAGCTGTCCACTTTAGAATCCAGTTTAGAATTATTTCTGTTTTGGGTCTTGTTTTACTTGTTGAAATGATTAAAATTACACTTGTAATTGCCTTACACAGCATGAACAGGACAGTTGTGAAGAAAACAGCAGCCTCATGCAGTCTATATCTGTGCACATACATGACTGTCCAAACAGAAAAACAACTGATCCACCACCAAGGCCAGTGCCCAAAGATCCAGAGAGAGAAAAGTCAACTGTGTAACAGTTTAACATAGACACACTGCACTGTCTTTTACCTGGTTACATGCCACTAGTTAGACCTTTTATTTAGACCTTTTACCTGGAATGTCCCATGGTATGACTTTAAACATATCCATCTAACTTTTATTGATTATGAGTGTTTCTCATAAATTCCTTCCGTGAAAAGGGATGAACCAACTCAGTTGACACCAGCTCAATTTCAGCATTTAAACTGGCAACTCAAATGAGACTCATGTGAGGCCCATTCTGCTTTCTGATTGGATACTGTTTGTAAAAAGGATTGACATTCTGACAGCAATAAATTAAAGCCATCCAGGGTACATTTTTGATGTGTTGTTGCTTTACTTTAGTCCTTGCTGAAACTTAGTCCAGTCCTGTTTTAGACCTGGTCTAGTCCTAGTTTAGACTTAGTTTAGACCTGGTCTAGTCCTAGTTTAGATTTAGTTTAGACCTGGTTTAGTCCTTGTTTAGTAGTATTTATTGTAGTTTTAGTCTTGGTCAAGAACTGGTGTAAACCTTTATCAGCCTTAATTACAGAAAAGCACAAAAGTTATGAAGTGAAGTGAAAAAGCTGAGACACTCAAAAAGTACAAAATAATGAAAAGCCTTTAATTCCACATGAAAGATAAAGTTCAGATCACACCAGCGTGTTTTGGCTTTTCATCCTTCATCAGGCAAACTCAAGATGCCTATCACAGTGCAGATTTAAGTCATAGGTGTAGGTCACATGTTCACAGTGGACTGACCCATGATGGGACATGTAGGCTAAACAGATTTTAGTTACAAGCTATTTAAGATCAAATATAATACAAGATACATATATACATATATACACATATATAAATACTGCAATTCCCAACAACCAATACATAGAAGACTACATAGTATAAAAATATATATATAGTACAAATACAAAAGTGCTACAGATACAACATGTATAATTTGTATAATATATTCAAGAGCTAGGGCCTCCTTCTGGTGGGACATGCCTGGAACACCTCCCCAGGGAGGCGCCCAGGAGGCATCCGTTACAGATGCCTGAGCCACCTCAGCTGCTCCTCTCAACATGGAGGAGCAACGGCTCTACTCCGAACTCCTCCCATGTGACTGAGCGCCTCACCCTGTCTCTAAGGGAGCACCCAGCCAAATGAGGAAACTCATTTTGAGCACTTGTATCCACGATCTTGTCCTTTCGAATTACAGTAATGCAATGCTTTTTGCTGTAACGCAGTAATGTTCGGCATTACAGGGGAAAAAATTGTAATATTTTACTCGGTACAAATGTGAGTAACGCGCGTTACAATGCTTTTTTAACCTGGACTGAAGTGGTGGGTTTTTCTTCATACCGAGAACTCCACACTGTTTAGACCTGGATTACAGTCGTCCCTCGCTCTATTGCGGTTCACTTTTCGCGTTCTCGCTGTTTCACAGATTTTTTTTTGTTGTGCAATTTTGCATGCCTTTTGTTTTTACAGTGTATGAATGCGTATTGCGTTCCTCCCGCTGTGTCCTGATTGGCCAAGGGACTCCTGTCTCCTGTACAGTACAGAATGTGTTTAAATACATTTTCAATCTCTAGCAGTGTGATTCTGAAGTGTTGTATGTTTGTAAGTTTTCTCCCCGACAAAATCCACAACGTTGACGAAATGTTCTGCACCAACAAAGTCTCCTACGGTCGCACTCAAAAGGCAGAGGAAGATGTAACCATCACACAAAAAGTTGGACTTCTGGACACGCTGAATTAAGGGAGAAGTTATGCGCTGTAGCAGACTCTTGCACTGGGTCGGGTCCCCACAAATAGTTGCTGAAATCAGGATCGCGAGCCCCCACAGCAGGGTGTCTGTAAAGCGCGATCGTGCGACAGCCGCTCTTACCTCCATGAGGTGCGGAGCTGAGCCGCTCCTTTCTCCTGCAGTCACGTTTGAGCCCGTCCCGACAGTGAATCCTGTTTTAGTCCTAGTTCAGTTCTGGTTTAGTTCTGGTTTAGTCCTCCTCTTCAGTCCTGGAATCAGTCCGAGGTTAGTCCTGTTATAGTCCTGGTTCAGTTCTGGTTCAGCTCTGGTTTAGTCCTGGTTCAGTCCATATTTGGTGCAAAACTGCAGCATCTTCGCAGTTATTTTGGTGAGAGTAACTTAAAGTAATGCAATAGTAATGTAATGCCTTACATTTTAAATGCAGTAATATTATAATGTAACAAATTACTTTGAAATGACAGTAATAAGTAATAAATAACACATTACAGTTTTAAAGTAACTTGCCCAACAGTGAAGACTAATCCTCACTACACAATACACAAACTCTTTTCTCTTTGTTT